ATGCAGCCTGTTTTCATGCTCACCCCTAAAAAACTCAAGTATTACAGATCAGGCTAAAGTAGCAAGAGAATTTACTTCAGAATTAGAATGTTATTAACAGTGCCCCCTTGATACAAATTTAAAAACAGGCTGAAAATTTGTACTATGTAGACAAGACACTTCAGGCTGTACTTTGCCTAGTAAGCTTACCTTAGTGTGCACTGTAAATTTGACCTTATCTCGCTCACTGAGTGCATCAGGTATGTCGATCTGAAGTGAGGGATCAATGTTCAGGTCTACAGACACAGATCTCAGCTGAAATACATTATTGTATTATTAGTCTCAAACTGACTTCAACCCTAAGAAGTACCTGCCCCAAAATGGGAGAAGTCTCTCTCTCTCTCTCTCTCTCTCTCTCTCTCTCTCTATATATATATATATATATATACACATACACACAAAAATGATCTTCAGATTTAGGAAACTTGCTGTTTAATCCATGTGATGAAAATATTCTTGCAACCTGAATAGACCAATTGCATGATTGTAACATGGACACACATGGAGAAACATATTTAACTATATACTCCAGTGCACACAGTGGATTACTAACTTCTTACATAAATGGCAATATTCAAAGAACATCCAAAGGGCTGGGAAGGTGGCTCAGTGGTAGAGCGCTTGCCTTGCATGCCTGAGGCCCTGGGTTCGATTCGTCAGCACCACATAAGCAAAAAGAAAAAAGCCGGAAGTGGCGCTGTGGCTCAAGTGGTCGAGCGCTAGCCTTGAGCTGAAGAGCTGAGGGACAGCGCCCAGGCCCAGAGTTCAGGCCCCATGACCGGACCCCCCCCCCCTCAAAAAAGAACATCCAAAATCCATCAATTACACCAAAAATCTGAAAGATGACTCTGGAAAAACCCATGATGGCAAAGAATCACATAATATAGGAACTGAGTATAGAAATAAGTGGACCAACTTATATCCAGAGATTTGTAGCAAACAACTAAGAAATCTGATGGGAAGGGTAAGGAAACTGGAACCTAGAAGATCAGTGAGGCCAGTCCAGACAGAAGTCTGTAAGAATCCATCTCCAAAATAACTAGTTAGAGCAAAAGGACTGGGTACTAATGATTAAAAGAGTAGGGAGAATAGTAACAATTCTTATTTCCGCATTCTTTTTGCTCTATTACCAAAATAAAAAAAAAAAAATCACCACCACTCTCAAGATTATGTAAAACAGAAGGCCAAGAGGAAGGCTAGAGCTAAGTGGATAAAAATATACAGTATCAAGAATACACTTTAGTTTCTAAGTAAGTAAAACATCTGGCCCAATCAGCTATAGACTAAATACAAAGCTGGTTGCTAGTGCCTCACATCTGTAAGTCTATCTACTTAGGAGGCTGATATCTGTGGATCTTTGAAGCCAGCCCAGGAGACTCATCTCTAATCATCAAAAACAAACATGTGACTAAGGAAAGAAAAGTCAAATTGTAGGAAAAAAATCCTACATTGCCACAGTTATGGCTTTCCTCCTAGAAGCCTCAAGTTCTGTAAGTAAGCCCTGAACCGTGGAACAAACCTGTAATTCCACCATTTGAAATGCTGACGCAGGAAGACCATCAGATTGTGGAGGTGATACTGAGCTATGCCATTCAGACTATCTCAAAGAGCTGTGGGCAGAATTTCATTTCAACAGCAACTATTAATGAAGATCACAGCATAATCTGGTCAACTTCTGGACCAAAGTACTGTTTCTTCAAAATGTACTCTTGATAATTGGCATGAAATATCACAGTCCACAAGACTACATTATAATCACTCCAGTTTTGATCAATTTCTGTCAAAAACAAAGCTTACTTCCTTCAGATAAATTACTGTTGGGTAAATACTTCCTTCAAAAATCCTAACAAGACACTAAAAAATAAATAAAAATTTAAAAAAGTCCTAACAAGGGGCTGGTAAGGTGGCTCAGTGGTAGAGCGCTTGTCTTGCACGCATGAGGCCCTGGGTTCGATTCCTCAGCACCACACAAGCAGAAAAAAAAAATCCTAACTAACAAATCTAAAATGTTTCATTGCTGACTAAGGAAAAATGCCCATGCCACCTATTCTAGGTTTTAGTGATAACTCATAACTAACTTCCCAATATAACAAGAAACCTTCCCCAGAAGTCATTTTTATGTAGACACACCATTTCATAAAGTTTTTAAACACAAAATCCCAACCACTTGAAATTTTTTTTTGGCCAGTCCTGGGGCTTGAACTCAGGGCCTGGACACAGTCTCTGAACTTCTTCTGCTCAAGGCTAGCATTCTACCAATTGAGCAACAGCGCCACTTTGGGCCTTTTCTGTTTATGTGGTACTGAGGAGTCAAATCCAGGCTTCATCATGCTAGGCAAGCACTCTACCATAAGTCACATTCCCAGCTCTGACATTGATACTCCTAAGCACTGAATAAGCAAATAACACTCAGCATTACCTATTTTGGGTCTTTAAAAAAAAACTTATGGGGCTGGGAAGGTGGCTCAGTGGTAGAGCGCTTGCCTTGCATGCATGAGGCCCTGGGTTCGATTCCTCAGCACCACAAAAGCAAAAAAAAAAAAAAAGCCAGAAGTGGCGCTGTGGCTCAAGTGGTAGAGTGCTTGCCTTGAACTGAAGAGCTGAGGGACTTCACCCCAGGCAGCAATGTTGCTCAAGTGGTAGAGGACTAACCTTGAGCACAGAGGCTCCAGGACAGCATCCAGACTCTTGAGTTCAAACCCCACAACCAACCAAAAACAAAACAAAACAAAACCCTGGAAATTCAATCACCAATTCCATTGCCACCAACCACCAAATGGGTTTTATCACTGTAGCATATAACCCTTCAGATAAAGGTAACACTAACAAGGAAGAAAAACTGCAAAATTCTAGGATCTTCTAAGTCAGCATTTGTGTCCTCATTCTGGAAACACCAAGCACAATGAAAAGCTCAGCATTCTTTTTTTTTATGCTTATTCAACAAAACAAAGGCCCTGCTGTCCCATGCCACAGTAATTGCTTAAATAACCCACCAGACCTAAGGGCAATAATGGCAATCTTCTAGCAAATACACAGCCCTGCTGGCCACTGAGCCTTGAATAAGCATTATAAAATACCCAGAATGGTTATTTATTTATTTGGCTGTCATGGGGCTTGAACTCTGGGCCTGGGCACTGTCCCTCAGCTCTTCAGCTCAAGGTGCTCTACCACTTGAGCCACAGCACCACTTCCCAGAATGGTCATTTATATATCAAGGCAGGTAAAGCAGACCTTCAGCATGTAGTTTTACCTGTTTTTCATTAGTCATTTGGGAGAATCAGATGATTTTTTTTGGCCAGGCCTGGGGCTGGAACTAAGGGCGGGCCTGGGTGCTGTCCCTCAGCTCTTTTGCTCAGGGAGAGCACTCTACACTTGAGCCACAGTGCCACTTCCTGTTTTCTGGTGGTTAATTGGACTTTCCTGCCCAGGCTTTGAACCGGGATCCTCAGATCTCAGTCTCCTGAGTAGTTAGGATTACAGGCGTGAACCACCAGTGTCCAGCCGACAATAAAAATTTAAGTATTATAGATGACTCTCAGATTTCTCTAAGAAGAGTTTTATTTTATGTCCAGTTCAGATCCTCTCAGCTGCCAATGTACTTCCCTACCATGTCCTCCTAGGAAAGATAAGGGATGAAGAAGCATTGTGGCATTTGGAAGCAATGTTTTAACTATTTTCAAGAAATCTAAGAATGGAGTGTAACAAATCTCAGCAGTGCAAGGCAGAAGGATCAAGAATTTCAGGGCAGCACAGGCTACATAGCAAGACTATCTTAAAGAAATCTGAGTATTTTTGGCAGGACCAATGCACTTTCTGGCTAAGAATACTCTATCTCCCAGCTGCATCCTAAACATTTGCAGCACAACAATCCTACAGAACTCAAGGTGTTACTCACCAGTCTTTCAGGTAATTATGAGTCATTCAGGCATTAGACTTAGTATCAGCAACATTCTCTTCAAAAAGTTTACTGATGGGTTGGAATTGTGGCTTAGTGATAGAGTGCTTGCCTAGCATGCATGAATCCCTGAGTTCGAGACTTCAGTACTACATAAACAGAAAAAGCTGGAGGTGGCACTGTGGCTCAAGTAGTAGCTCAAGAGTGCTAGCCTTGAGCAAAAGAAACACAGGGACAGGAGCCAGGCCCTGAGTCCAAGCCCCAGGACTGGTAAAAGAAACACACACACACACACACACACACACACACAAGCAGATGGCAAAGCAGACAGGCACCTGTGGTAATCCTACCAACACTAGTAGGCTTAGATCTAAGGATCGAGATTCAAAGCTAGGCTGGCAGAAATTCTCCAATTAACCACCAAAGAGCTGTGCAGCTGCAATGGTAGAATGCTAACTTTGAACAACAAAAAAAATCTTAGTGGCAAAGCCTAGGCACTGAGTTTAAGCAACAGGACCAGCACAAGGGGAAAAGGATGTACCAAAAACATTGTATTAACTTTTGCAAATAAGATCCACAGGATATGTGCTTATGAAACTTTTGTTTCAACTCAAAAAGGAAATGTTCTGTGATACTAATACCAAAGTCTTTCTCTTGGTTTAAAATGGCTAAAATATCTCAAGATACTCTGAACTGTTTTTCTCCTATCTTGACACTGGTTCATGGAAAACAATGAAATCACTTCTTAAATACTATACTAGTTGCCATTACAGAACTCACTCTCACCATTCCCTCCCACTAGTTCTCTTTAAGGCCTGAAATCACAACTTTGTCCTCACAAACACAACTAAGAACTTATGGAAGACTTCAAATTAACATAAATAACCATGAATAAGGTGGTTCATGCCTGTAATCCTAGCTACTCAGGAGTCTGGGATCTGAGGATCATAGTTCGAAGCCAGCCTGGGCAGGCAAGTCCATCTTACCTCCAAGGCCCTGAAGACCCCCACAAATAAAGAATTAAATCACTTAGGTACAATGTTAAAAATAAGATGGGCTGCAGGCAGTGATCAGATTTTCACCACTCATCTTGGTGAGATAGGACCCAATGGGACCCATCCCTGCTGACACCAACCATTCCTCCCAGTAGAATCCCAACACACAAGCAGCCCACAATAGAACACTGTAGGCTGCAAGGCATTTGGAAACTACATAGACCTAAGTTCCTAGAACAGGAACTGAAGCCTGGTAAGAAGGTCAATGCAGCACACTCAGCGAATGGATAAACTGAATCATCATGTCACAAGGCTGCAAGCCCACAAACTAGCCAACTCTCTCAATATGGCACCAAAAGCAATTATGTTCATATACAACCTTAAATAACTAATTTCAAGTTAAGAAACCAAATCGTTCACTTTTGGGGCTGGGTTGTTCCGTAGGGCTTTAACTCTGGGTCTGGGCACTGTCCCTGAGCTCTTTAGCTCAAGGCAACACTCTACCACTTGAGCCACAATATCCCTTCCTGTTTTTCTGGTGGTTAATTGCAGATAAGAGTTTCACAGACTTTCCTGCCCTAGGCTGGCTTTGAACACTGATCCTCAGATCTCAGCCTCCTGAGTAGCACCTGGCTTCATTGGCTATTTTTTAAATGAGTTCACAAATATTATGTCATAGAAATCCAACAAGGAAACCAGGGTGATTCTACTTACAGTGAAAACTCTAACCAATTTTTTATTCAAAAATAAAGCCCTTCATCTACTACCCAAACCATATATATTTAATATGGACAGGCTATCATGACACTCCTGTACTTATATACACTAATACTTCTTAAAAATTAATTTTAAAAAATAGCCTGAAAAAAGTAGAGACACTTTTAATAGTATTTACGACTGCCACATTAAAACCTAGCACTGGTGGTTCATGCCTTTAATCCTTGCTAATCAGGAGGCTGAGATCTGAGGATCATGGCTCAAAGGCAGCCCAGGTAATAAAGTCCACTTAGCTCCAATTAACCACCAGAAAACTGAAGTGGTGCTGTGCCCAAAGTGACAGAGCAAAAGCATTGAGCAAAAGAGCTCAGGAACAGCGCCCAGGCATCAAGTTCAAGCCCCACAGCCCAAGAAAAATCTGTAGTCAAATTAGGATTAATCAATGACACTTTAAGAAAAAAAAAGGCCTGTATAGCCACCTTCCTTTCTAGATCAAAAAGAAAAGGCAAGCAGAGCTTTGGTGGCTCATACTACTCAAGAGGTTGAGCTTAAGGATTAAAGTTCAAAGCCAGCCAGCGCAGGAAGGTCCATGAGACTTATAGCCGTAACAATTCGCTAATCACCTATCTGAAAAGAACCTTGCAACCAATGGGCACACTAAGACTACCCTGGTACAACTTGATTGACTCCCCCCAAATCATATCATTTTAGAAAGGGTGGATTTGATTTTGGATCCAACTCTCTTCACAATTTCGTCCTGAAACCATAAACATGTAGGTACATCATGACTTGTTCAAGTACTATGTTCATAATTGGGACACTGAAGACACAGTGTGCAAGTTACTGGTCCAGAACTAAGGCGTGGGCAACACTGATAAACAATACTTCCTGGACTGTACAAAAAAAAAACATAAAACTCCAGTTTAAAAAAAGGAGGTTAAAAAAAAGAGGTAATTGTGGCTTTGCTATGGTACTGGTCAAAGTTCAAGACTGTCCCTACACAGAGTGGTCAATGGAGTAAACTAACACTAGTAGCAGCTTCTACAAAAACGGATCCACCTAACACAAGTTATGGCTAATTTTTTTTGTCGGTAGTGGGGCTTGGTGGGCCTGGGCGCTGTCCCTGGGCTCTTCAACTTGAGGCAAGTGCTCTACCTCTTGAGCCACAGTACCACTTCCAGTATTCTAGCGGTTTATTGGAGATCAGTCTCACGGACTTTTCTGCTCAGGCTGGCTTTGAACCATGATCCTCAGATCTCAGCCTCTTGAGAAGCCAGGATTATAGGCATGAGCCACCAGCCCCCAGCTTGGTTAATTGTTTTTTGGCAAGATGTTTCTCCAGTTAAAAAGGGTACCGGTTGGTTCACACCTGTAATCCTAGCTACTCAGGTGGCTGAGATCTGAGGATCCCAGTTAATTGGAGGCTCCAATTAACTATCAGAACACCAGAAGTGCTGTGACTCAAGTGGTAGAGCTGCTTGCCTTAAGCTGAAGACCTCTGGGATAGTGTCCAGGCCCAAAGTTCAAGCCACAGGACCCACCAAAAAAAAAAAAGGCATCAGGCAAAGCAGAGTTATCTTGCACATGCAAGTACCAGAGAAAAGCACCTACTTTGTTTCAAGACAGAGTCTGTAGTCCAGGCTGGCCTTAAACCTGATATCCTCCTGAGTATGGAGATTACAAATGTGTTAACATAATAACAATAGCTTTCCATTTTTTTGTTTTCAACTTACTTCAGTCTATTCACAATCACAGAGAAATCTAAAGCTCTTCAGAACCTAGGCAAACTCCCAGAAGGCAATGAGGAGTAAAAACACTAATGCCACTGCTACTGTACTTCATTTGCCGTAAATTAAATAAGAATAATTCGTTCCAAAAGATCCTACAAGACACACTGAACCTAAAAGTAGACACCTAAATACAATGGCAAGCCCATGACTTTCAGTAAATGGAATGATGACAAATCTACAAGTTGCTAAATGACTGAAGACAGTCTGAAAAATCTCTATTTCCCCACCACACCAGCTAAAAATCTGAGACATCTGAGAACTTTCATCCAGTCCACATGAACTAAGGACAGTAGTACTCTTCGAAGCTACTATAAAGTAGGGGCCACAAGAGTTCGTTTGGTAACTGGTTCTCAGGAGCTAGACACATTTAAATCCTTTCAACATAATCAAAATGCAATTATATTAAAAGAAAATTAAAAACTGAGACCAGAGCTCAATAATAGGGCAAAGCATACGATTAGCAAGAATAAAACCATGATTGGCTTCCCACCACAGGAAAAACAATATTTAAACATTGATTAAAAATCAAGTATTTCAGTGCAAGTGCGTCCCAACACTTGGGACTACTGTTACTGTTTTATACTAGTCACAACGCAAAGGCCCTTTAGTTCACTGTAAAAGCATGATCCTCTAACAGCACAGTACTAGTATCAAAGGAGGCAGCATAAAATGAAGTCACATGTCAAGAGTAGTAATTTACTTATCTCTTCTGCAATCCCACTTTTTTGCACTATGGAAATTGACAAAGCCCCTTTACCAACTAAAGTCAGGAGGCATTTCATACTTTTCAAAACCCTCAGATTTTGCTTAAGAACCAGGGTAGTAAGTCATCTTAAAGACTCAGTTGTGACTAAAGATAAGAACTAAGGCTCAGCGGTAGAGTGCTTTTGCCTTGCATGCACAAGTCCCTGGGTGCGATTCCTCAGCACCACATAAGCAGAAAAAGCCGGAAGTGGTGTTGCTCAAGTGTGCTGGACTTGAGCCTAAGAGCTAAGGGACTCGCCCAGGCCGAGTTCACGCCTACGACCAACCAAAAAAAAAAAAGAACTAAAGTGATAAAGGTCTTTTGCATAGCTGATTCTAATCAAAAATTTTTACTCAAGGGGCTGGGAAGGTGGCTCAGTGGTAGAGCACTTGCCTTGCATGCTCAAGGTCCTGGGTTCAATTCCTCAGCACCACATAAGAAAAAAAGCCGGAAGTGGCGCTGTGGCTCAAGTGGTAGAGTGCTAGCCTTGAGTTGAAGAGCTGAGGGACAGCGTCCAGGCCCACAGTTCAGGCCCCACGACCGGACCCAAAAAAAAAAATTTTTTTTACTCAAAGGTGCCAGACACACAAATAATCAACATTCTTACCCAGTTTGTCTACATTTGGCAGGGAGAAGAAAACTTTATATAGAATGCTCCATTAAGAGCTTCCAAAGAAATACAACACCCCAATCAAGAACCTCCCTGGTACAAGGCTCTATTTCAATAAGTAGTAACAATGATACCCTTGTTGGAAGAATCCAGTTGCTTAGTACGCAAGAATTTAACTGGAAGAAAAAGCATTTCTCCATTCAAAGACAGTTCTAAAGGGTCCAAGTTTCTTTTGATCGCGGGGTAATGTTTTTAGATTTAAGTTTTTGTCGTTAAAAATGGTGTTGATTCTGCCCACACGATCGTGGCTCAACCCAGTATGTTATGCAAAATAGGATTCACATTTAAAGGAGCAATAAAAGCGTGGAGACTTGTCAGTCTTTAATTGGCAGTAACGTTGTTTATTACATTAATAATCTTTTTGGACCGGACCTCAAGAAACGCGCGACCTTTGAAACACAAGTTCAGTAAGTATTTAAGCACCAACTCAAAATCACGCTGGGAAGCACGTAGCTTCTTCTATGAAGTTGCAAGTGACACGCTACAGATTCGGGATGGAATTTCCCCAGTAGTTCCAGCAAAAGGAGGTGACACGCCGGTTTTGGAGGAAACGAGCCGGTGCCGCTTGCACGTTAAGGGACTTTGTAACGTTCACTTTCCACTCAACCACGGAGCCACCGTGTTAAGTCTTGAAATACACACTATGGGGGTCTCCAAGGATCAGTCCACCACGCCTGGCCGAGGGTCTTGCTCGACCACTGCGGACGCGCGTGTCTGGCCCTGTTCTCGGAGGGAATCGGGGAATCCACTGAGAACACCCGGAGAAGCTTCTCTGAGGCGTGGGAGAGCCAAGGGGGTCGTCTAAGGCCTTTCAGGAGCTTCCTGCTCTGCGGAGGGCCGCAAGCAGCGAAGAGCCCCCCCCGGGAAAGGGAGCGGGGAGCAGAACACCCCGGACTACGGAATCGGACTACGGAATCGGAGTGGAGGGGAGGACCTCACCTTGCTGCGGTCCTCCTCCTGCTGCTGCAGCACCTCGGGAACCGCGGCCATGGCGACGCGGACCTCGAGCTGGGGCGGCCTGGGCTGTGCGAGGAAAGAAGAGGCTGGGCCGCCGCCGCCGCCGCCACCTCCGCCGCCGGGGTGCCTCTCAGGGGCGGCCGCGGCCCCGGCCCCGGCCCCGCCTCCGCCGGCCTCCCTGCCCGACGGCAGCCTGGAGACCTGGGGACTCCGCCACCATCCCAGCAGCCCCGGGAGCAGGCGAGCCGCAAGCCACGTGCTTCCCCAGAGCGGCCTCCCCCGTCCCCGCCGCCGTCCATCTTGGAGCCGGGCAAAGAAGCAAGGCGGAGCCTACCCTCGCTCCGCACCACACGAAGACCGCACAGACCGCACACCCGAGACGGAGACACCGAGACGAGGAGCCTCGGAGCCTCTCTCACGGAGGAACGTC